ATATATATATATATATATATGATAACTTATATGTTCATGTTTTCGGCTTTGAAGATTGAAGTATATGTTTTTGGTGTTATATGACATATTGATTGAGCATGTATAAACATTAATGTTTACTTTAAGCATAACATATTAATCGTTGATCGATTGAATTTTAATCGGTTTTAAGCAAATCTCAAGACTTAATAATTTTAACCATGATTAATGTAAAAAAATTGAGTTTTAATATTATATATTTGGAAGATCATAAACTACATAAATATAAATAGAGTAATAAAAATTAAATAAAAATATAAATCAAAGAGAAGTGTTATACTAAATGTTGAGATACATAATTCAAAGATAAGTTTAGACCAAAATAACATCTTTGTTAAATCAAATTAGATTCAATTGAAATTGCTATAACTATATAATGATATTAATAAAAGAAAAAAAACTTAAAATAAGCTATAATAGGATTGAACACTATATCTCAAGATAACATCTAAAGCACCTCAAATTTCTCTTTCTTTTCGATTATTTTTTCAACTTTTCCTATGGAGGTCAATAAACCCAACTTTAAAAAAAATTAAGATAAGAAAAACTCAATTCTTTCCTTGTTATACCTCGGGATTCAACTTTATAGATTATAGGTTGATCTTTTTATCTACTTTTGAGTAACATAGATTTTTTAATTTATCTTTAATTTTTAGATATGTTTTGTATGAATATCTTATTATTTTAAATCATCCGATATGACTCTAATTTACAATTGATGTATAGAGTTATTACTTTCCCGATCTAAGGTACTCATAAGCTTTTATTTTCTAAGAAGATGTTCTATTTAAGCTGAATTGACCTCTTTAGTGATATGATTAGGTTTTATCATTTTGATATATTTTTTAAAACAATTTCTTAGGGTATTATGAGATTTGGAATTAAGTGAATACTATTTTTATGCACCAAGATATAAGATATACAAGTTCAAACAATCCCAACCCAAATTTTTAAGAATAAAATATATGTTGTTAGTAAATTAAGAGGGTATTTAGCCTCAATGATTCTATTTTAAATTAAAAAATTATATGTCTCTTAGTTTTTTTATAAAATTTTATAATAATTCAAGATCGTCATATAAGATTAAAATTTCTTGATAGAATTGTGCAATGGTTTGAGTTATCATAACCAGTTCAATAATCATAAAGTAAATTATTAAAATATTAATTATAAAATTTAGATAAATTTTTAGGCTGAGTATAGTCTAATTTATCATGGATTTTATCAAATTTTTTTTATAAATTATTATAAATCAATAATTCAAGAGATAGGTTCTTAATTAAGACATCTCATGACCTTATACTCCCAATTTAATAGGAATACCAAATCTGCACACTCGCTCATTAAGGAACGTGATCTTTTATTGACATCTTTTATTTTTAATTTAAATAAAGTAAGTATAAGTTTAATTTACTAAAAAATAATTATCATATAAATTATCGTCTTTATAATATATTTTGGAAAGCATGTTTCGAATGATATGATTATCATGAGCTAAGTATGTGCTAAATATGAATATGATATATATATATATATTATAAGTATAAAAAAATATGAATTGTGATAAAAATATCTTATATGCATGTATATATATATGATGATGTGAGATGCAAAAGTGCATATAAATTCTATGACGTGCGATATAGGAGTGTACATATATGTTATGACGTGTAATACACTTATATGCTATAACATATGATATGAGACTGCATACATATAAAATGAGAGTGCGATGTGGAAATACACGTATATATATGTTATGATATATAATATAAGGGTATATGTATATTTTACATTGGCATGCAATGTGAAAGTACACATACACATTATGATATGATAAATAGAAGTCCATGAATTTGTTATTATTTTTACTTGTGCACATAATCATTTTGAATTATTTTGACATATAATTTTACTTTCTTATTATGCATTTATTATATTATAGGGTTATATAAATAGGATGAGATGCCTCATAATAAATATCTTATATAAATAATTTTAAAATATTATATATATGACATAATACATGCTCACTTGTATGAAGCTATAAAGAATTATAGTGATTACCAATTATAAATCCTATTTTATAGATAAAAATATTAGTTACTCACTTAAGTGATTGAGTAGTAAAATAAATACATGCAAACACATACCAACATATATATGAATGATGATCCGTGAATATTTTGTGTGCATAAATTTTAAATATATTATATTTATATTTTTTATTACAGGTTATAATTATAGACAAGTATTAAAAATAGTGATAGAGTATTGCAAAATGCTTCTCTTTTGAAAATACTTCAAGTAGATAAAAAAAGAAAATCTCATATCTATCCCTAGTGGAATTCATTTGTATACCAAGAAGCCACATCAAATTGAAGCTATCATTTGTATGATATGAGACAAAATCTCATTTGTATACCAAGCCATTTCTATCTGTCGATTGTTAATACTATATATATAATAACTATTTGATTGAAGCTATATTTGACATTAATAATCCTGAAAACTAATATGTTAGAACGAATCTATAAAACACTTTAGCATTGTTTCTAACCAACCAAATATTTGGGAGAGATTTTTTACATAGATTTATGGGAGAGATGCTTTATAAAAATTTATACATATTTATAGTATATGAAAACCCCAAAATAAAGCAACATTACTTCTTAACTTTGCCATCCCATGTAAAATGTGAATATATATATATATATATAAAGTGCCCCTTCTGCAAATATGAATAGCAGCTAATGCCATATCAATGTTTGATCCTTGCAGAACTTACCACATTTCCAAGCTTATCTTCACTGAGTCATATGACTGTTCCTTTGCACAAGCATCATTCACTTGTTACAGGGACGGCTTTCGCCAAATACAAGCAGTATTATGATTCTGAATTCAAAGACACTTGAAAAACACTAGCGTAATCACTGAAAAAATTGATCAGAATTCTGTATCTTCCAAAATTTCAGAGGCAATGGGTAGATGCAGACCAAACAGTTGATGCCTAATCTTGTTGGAATGTGACTTGAAGTGCCAAAAGTCTCTCAATTGCATTGAGTTGTCACTGACCAAAAGGCTAAATGATATACGGCAAGTCAAAGAAACATTGGTTCAGGTATGACACCCTAGCTGTAGGTAAATCTGTTGAATTATGAAAAGGCAAATAACTCAGAGGAGATGCAACACTGAGTAGAAGAGTTATCAATAAGACAATATTCTGTCGATCTTGTCTTACTACATAACAGGAAACAACTTATTTACATTCGCCTAAGAACTATTATATAACCAAAGCTCGTATATTATTTAAACAACTGATTATAAGAGGCTTCAATTAAACTGAATGAATAATCTAAAGTTAGGACTATAAACAAAGAGGAACCTAAAGATTTTCGAATTGCCTTATCAAATTAAAATCCAGAAAGGCACAACCTTAGCTGGAAAATATCCATCCTCACCTCTGGTTGTATACATGAAAATATGTGTTATGAGCAGGTGTACCTGTGAAAACAAAGAAATTCCATGCAGTAGTGAAAAATCAAGCCAGTTGGGGTGTCGTCAGCAAAATGCTACACCCTGTTGCATGGTGAACTAATTAGTTTAAAGAGGTGGTAGCAGAAGCTAGAGGAGATCAAATGAGAAAGCAAGGAGTCATCTTTTCACAGATGTCCTTTGGGGTCCTTATCTCGCTCAGATATGTCATGACCCAGGAATTTTGACTTCTCCATCATCTTTGAGACTTCGGTCACATGAGTTCAAGATCTAACTTGAGACATGAAGGCTGAAATAATGTGAATCACTCGAGAAGAGTGCTTACCTATATGTTATAGTTGATAAAGTGTGTTCAGGATAACAATATCACAGAGGATTAGAAATTGCTAAATCAAATGCCACCACTCACTCTTCTCTTTATTCTTTTCTGAGTGAAAAATTGTTAAAAGTTAATAACCAATGAATAGAAGCCCAAAATAAGTTTTAAAGGAAGTCACTCGATGACTATATAACCATTACCCTAGAAAATGGAATACTTGCACACTTATTAAGGAATGTTGTCATTCACCAATAATTAATCTTAAAGTAAGCTACTCAATGTCTTCATAACCAATACCATAGAAAATGAAATACTCGTACGCTTATTAAAGAGATGGGCATGCTATCATTCACCACTAAATTAGTTTCAGTTCAGTCATCTCTAGATGTATGCAAAGAAATGAGTCAGAAGTACCAAAAATCGATGTAATGCAAATGTAAAAGGCAGACAATTATCATGTTTATGAATTAATATTTATTATAAGGATACAAATGTGCAAATTTATAGATGAATTCAAATATAATTAAATATAAGAAAGAATCACCATTAACTTAGTAGTCATAGAAGCGAGGATTTGTTATTTGTAAGAATTTTAAAATGGACAAAAATTTTCCATATACTAATGCACCATGCCACAGGTTATGATTGATGAGTTTTTTGTTATAAGAACTACAGCGCCCATGTGATGATGCTTTTAATTATCTCATAGGTCACTTCTTACATAGACTATTAAATTATACTAATGCTCTAACCATAGGATCCCCTATATCATAAAAGGATTCTAGGACAAATTTTCCAAGTTTTGAATTTAGACAT